TATATTTATAGAAGAAATGATATGAGTATTGGTATTGCACACACGCTCGTGTGCGCGCACACACACATACACACACACACACACACACACACACAGAAGAACCAGAAAAGAAATGAGAAAAATGGAAAACAATTTCTTTCATATACTGTCCTCTTTGAACAAACAATTCAAATCAAATCGACTATTTAAATTCTTACATGTACAGCCTTTCAATCAGAATTTCTAATTCAGGCAAGATGGTCTAAAGAAATTGTTACAGACACTCTCAGTTGTTGCAATAAGGATTTTCAATGTGAACAGGACAAATTTAAATATGTTCACTGGCATGTTAAAAAAACAAGTTACAGTACATGCAACATTATAAATACAGTTTTAAGAATATAGATGACATAGATATTACAAAATTTATTAGTGAAAAAAATAAAATCACAGAAAAAGAAATGCAGTAGTTGGGATACAGACTAGAAGAAGACCAAAACTACAAAAGAAAGATTTTTCTCTGGAGAGGGTCAATTCAGGTGTCTTACATGGATATGTTATTAAGGTTAGCCCCTCCCAACCCCCCATGTGATTTTTAGCCACATCTAATTCCTCCTTTAAAATCCTAACAGCACTGCCTCCAGATCCAGGTCCTTCCCATCCTAATCCTTATGGCTACCCACTCCAGCCTCTTTCTCTGCTGATACTATGCTCAACACCAGTCTTTTAAATCCCAGACCTTTCCTCATGAGCTGTTCCATCTTTCTAAAATTATCTTTTCCCACTTCACCTCTCTCCCTACCTTCTTACTAACTTTAGATTTACATACAAAATTATTTTACCTCAGAGAAATTTGCCGAGATTCCCGAATTCATGTTCACTGGTGCCCCTCTTAATATTCTTAGGCTTTAGGACAGATAAATACACTGTAATTACATACCTAAGTTGTTCCAGGTTTGATTTTTTTTCCCTAACTGGCAACTGCCGTAGTAAGACAAGGACAGGGACTGGTTTACTATTGTAAACAACCTACTCATTAGACACTCAATAAACAATCACACTAAAATGATACAGTGGAATTTGGGGATGATAGGTCCACGAGTTCAAAAAACAATGATCAATTCTAACTTTTCAACAATGAATCAATTTTTTTCAATAGTAAAAAGGCAAATTGAAATAAGACAAATCCATAACCTACTAGTTTGTCATGAAACGTGTATACACTCATACACTGTACATCTTTTTTTTTATTTCATTGTGCAATGAGAGGATCAAACCCTAAGTAGAGCCCTCCCTCCATATGCTAGGCAAGCACTCTCCCCAAGGCCACATTCCCAGACCAGCACTGCTTCCCAATAAAGCATTATTGCCAATTCACAGAAAAGGCATGAAGATTATCAGTATCTTTTGTCCCAGTAATTTCACAGAAAACGTAACCGAGGAATTCAAAGGTAGAAAAAAGTTATACCCGTTATTTCTTAATGAAGTTACCCATGGGTGGGGGAGGGGATAGAAAATCCTACCACTTATCCTTTTTTAATGTTTTATTGTGATCACGGTGATGTACAGAGGGGTGACATTTATGTAAATCGGGTGAAGGCTACCTTTCTTTTCAACGATCTTACATACACAAATAACCCACTATAGTGAGTACGCAGAGCTCAGCAACAGGTTGGTGGTGTTACGAGTGAAGCTAACGCGGTCGTGAGTTACACTACAGATTCAGTTGTCTTTTTTTCCTCCTAATCCTTAACACCTACAACGTAGGATCTCGTTTCGAGATACAGCGGCGCCTCCGGGCAGTTCTTTCCCCTCGAAGCCCAGAGCCAGGGCACCGCCGTCGGGGGGCGGGGGGGGGGGCCCGGCTCTCGCCACTCCCGGGAGCGCACCTGCCGCGCACCATTCCAAACCCTGGAACCTCAACTTATCCCCAACGAGCCCGGACGGCCCGCCGGCGTGTGGTTCTCAGCCCCCCCGCGGCAAACTCGAGGCGCCCGGCCCCGACGTGCCCCGCCGACTGCCCCTCGCCAGCGGAACGGCTACCGCGCGGCTGGCAGGGGAGGGTGGGC